TATTAAAGAAGTGTTGAATCGATTCAACATGGAGGAGTGCAAGCCTATTAGAACACCATTGGAGGCCAATATGAAGTTGATAAAGTTCATGAATGAGTAGTTTGTTGAAGTTGAAGATGAAATGAAAGGTATTCCATACAAAGTAGCAGTAGGGTCATTTATGTATGCAATAGTTGGTATACAGATAGATCTTATATATGTGGTGAGTGTTGTGAGCCAACACATATCAAAGGCTAGACCAATCCAATAGGCAACCATTAGAAGGATCATGAGGAACTTAAAAGTCACTTTGAACTTCAAATTGTACCTTGGAGGTGATAATATTGCATTGCATAGTTATTGTGATGCGGATTGTACTAGAGATGCAAATGATAGAAGGTCAAAAATAGGATATGTATTCTTTATTAGAGTAGGAGCAATTTTATGGAATTATAAGAGACAACCAATAATTTCAAGGTCAACAATGGAGATAGAGTACATGGCAGGAAGTCATGGTACAATAGAGGCAATATGGCTAAGACAAGATTTAGAAGATATTAGACTTGTATAATTAGAAGCAACTCCAATGAAGTGTGACAATCAAGGATGCCTTGCTTTTGCAAAGAATCCAAAGCATCATTCAAGGACAAAGCACATTAAAATTCAACATTACTTCATATGAAAAAAGATTGAAATGGGAGTGATTGATACGAAGTATTGTGCAATAGAAGATATGCTTGCTAATTTGCTTACAAATACATTGGTGAAGGATAGACATTAAAAATTCACAAAAGCATTAGGATTAAAAATCTTTAATCAATAGCAAAGTCAGAGTGATAAAATAAATGTTGAACAAATAAAAGATATTACCTAATATAAGTTGCTACTGGTTAAAGGGTAGCAAAAGGTAATAAGAAAATTATCAAGGTGATAGCTAGGATTTATAGTAGCAACTAGGTTAAGTGGCGGCTAGGGTTTGGAGTGGCAGCTAAGTTAAGTGAAATATATGATTCAATTGGATGAAATAAGGATGAATGAGAAAGAAGTTGATCCACAATGGATGTAAATTTTACCTATAAATAAAAGATGTAACTCAAATTAATGATTTGCCACATCTTTTGCTACAAGCTTATCAACTTTTGAAAAGTCAAAAATATGAAGTCATGGATGATAATCATAATTAGTAAAAAAGATATTTCTTGAGTAGAAAAATATATTGAATTATTATACATAAAATTTGCCATGGCAAAAAAAAATTCCAATCATCTTGATGAAAATTGATAGTATACCTTAAATAGTGCTCAAAAACTTGATTCATTTGTTCTATTTGCCCATCAATTTGAAGATGAAAAGTTGAAGAGAACTTTATATCTATTTTTAAAATCTTGAAAAAAATTTCTTTAAAATCTTAATATAAATTGAGTCTTCCTATCTGATATAATATCCTTGGACAATCCATGATAGCAATAGATATTGCCAAAAAAAAGCTTAGTCATTTCTTTACCTATGATAGATTTTAGACCTATTACAAAATGTGCCATCTTGATAAAATAATCAACTATTACAAATATAGAATCATATAAATCTGAGATTGAAAGATCCATAATAAAATCCATAGAAACAAAAGACAATAATTGTTTTAAAATAGATTATGGCTGAAGAAGTTCATAAGATTGATGGCGAGGATTTTTAAAGCTTAAACAAATATCATATGATTGTACAAAGTCTTTATGTGCCTTTTATATTTGAAGACATCAAAAATCTCTTGATGTTAGGTTCAAAGTCTTGTTGTATCTAAAATATCTAGCTGTTAAAAAGTCATAATGAATTTAAAGAATAAGTAATCATGTACCACCTTTTAGATTGTATAATATTCCTTTGAAATAGAATAGCTTGTTCTTGAACTCAAACTTGAAATATCATGAAATTTAGAAGAATTATTCTTAATATCATAGTCAAAAGGATCAAAGGACATACTTGATTAAATTTGCTTAATAAAGGTTGAATCAACAATTAATGTTGATTTTATTACTTAAAGGTGAAAATATTCTAGCTTCAAAAAAATCATTCTTTGTTGATCAAAAGATGCATCTTCTTCTTTTGGTGTAAGATAAGAATATCTAGAAAGGATATCTGATAAATCTTGTTATTTTCCATATTGATAAGTGATCTTGAAATCAAATCTTGATAAAGACATGCTCCAATAAGCTTGGTAACGATTCAAAATACGTACCAACATAAAATACTCAAGGTTCTTGTTATCTGTATATATAGTAATTAGACTCAAGGTGCCCTCTAGATAATGACACTATTCTTAAAATAAATCTATAATTACAAGAAGTTCTTTGTTGTGGATTTCATGATTAATCTTGGCTATTGATTTTTTTTTTGAAATGGAAAGCTATTAGATGGAGTTTTTTTTATCTACTTCCATTTATGACAATATTATATATAAAGCAAAGTCTGATCCATTTGTTTCTATAAAAAATGTCTTGGAAAAGTTAATCTAATATAAAATTGATATAAAAATAAATTCTTTTTTTAAAACATCAAACAATGCTTTGGCTTCTTTATTCTACTCAAATTTATCTTTACTAGTCAAATGTATAAGTATAGTTGCAACTTGAGAAAAAATCTTGATGAAGATCTGATAGTAAATGACAAAGTTCAAAAAACATTGCACATCTTTTATTATTCATAAAATCTTCAAATCCATGATAGTTTGGACCTTTTTCAAATCCTTTATTAGCCTTTTGTAAAAAATGATGTATCTTTAGAAGTCAACTTGAATAATATGGAATATATATTTTTTTAATTTGGCATATAATCCTCCACCTCTAAGTTTTTATAATACGCAACAAACATGAACTTCATACTCTTCTATGTTCTTAGAATAGATTAAGATGTTGTCTAAATAATAAACAATAAAATCATCAAGAAACTTATAAAAGACATCATTCATTAGATGTTAAAAAATAGCTGATATATCTATGAATCCAAAAAGTATGATATTATATTCAAAATACTCATATCTGGTCCAAAATGTAGTTTTCTATATATCTCATTTTTTAATGTATACCAAATTATATACTCCTCATAGATTTATTTTTGTATAGATCTTTGCTTAATTGAGTTGATCAAAAAGTCCTGAAATCAAAGGTAGAGGATGCCTATTCTTGATGGTGATCTTGTTGAATCCTTGAGAGTCTACACACATTTATAAAGATCCGTCTTTTTTCTTTACAAATAAGATAGGAGCCCTAGTTGGAGATTTTGAATGACATATGAAATTTTTAGCCAAATTCTCATTAATGTAGTCTTTAAGTGCAGCCAACTTATTTTGTGATATGCTACAAATTGGTCTAAATTGTGGTTGAGCTCTTTCTTGAAGATCAACTTATAAGTCTTGAAACAAGACTAAAGACTAGAAAGACATTGACAAAAATGAAGAAGGCTTCACTCTTGCCCCATATATATTCTTAACAAAGAATTATGTAGCAATGTCCTATAGGACCTTCAAAATGTATTGACTTTGTAAGATATGTATGTTAATTTGCAAGACAAGTTTTTTCTATGTATCCCACCTAGTTAGCTTATTCCGTAAGCTACCAACACGTGATTAACTTATTAACCAAGTTTTTAATTTACCAATCAACTACAAACACATGTAAAGTCAAAGCAATGTCTAAGAAGTTATTAGAAAGTTTTTTTAAAAAATATTATAAAATAAACCTACTATTACCTACTTCTATTTAATCATATATGTAAATATTGAAATAAAAATGTATGTCCATAATAGTTCTACATTGCAAACATTGATATGGCCTTCAAGTATCTTCATTGTAGTGAGACCAATGGCTAACATTCAAAAAGAGCTATACAATCTATACACTTGTGCATTCACAAAAGAAATCTTGAAACAAATGATGCAAGAATAGAAGAAGAGTCTTAAGACACCACACTACCACATGAAACAAATTCAAGGTATTATACTTTAAAAAATACTCTATTGAAATTCCAAGCGTCAAAGGATTTGTATAGGAAAACACACCTTGTTAACATCATGTTTCCTACAATAGCAAGATCTTTTCAAACCCAAGTTCTCAATGGATCTCAAGGTACCTCATAGTATGATCCAATGCCCTAGGGCAGCAAATATATGCTGGACATAAGTCAATGTCAAAGAGATAGTCCACCTTTAGAACTATAGGTCTAGATAAAATAGTCCCTCAAAAATAAATAAATAAATAAATCTCTCTCTCTCTCTCTCTCTCTCTCTTTCTCTATATATATATATATATATATATATATCTATATGGATTCAAGACTACTACCTTAGAATCTATAAGAGATGTACAAGTGAGCTCCACACCAGAGAGATCTCTCCAATGAATCATTTTAACAATGTAACCAAATACTTTTTTTTAAGCCAAAGTGGCATTTAAAAGCTTGATGAAGTAAAGAATTGCTTTAGTATATGAAAATAAATAAACAATGAAGAAACTAATTGACTGTTGTATACTATGAAATAGTTGAAACCATCATATAAAAATTTCATAGTAAAAATAGTTGAAACCATCATATAAAAATTAATATCTATAAAAATAATGCACAACTATCAAAACTTAAAACATGGTGTGGACCAAATGATTAATACTTTCATAATCACCTTTACAAGTACCATTACATGAAGAAATTTCAAGAATTATTACTTGTGTCTAGAAAGGCATTCAAAATTGAAACCACTATGTCAGAAACATTTAACACAAGCTTCAATCTATGATTCTATATGTATTTGTTTACTTTTTAATTTAATTTAAAATTCACTTTATCCTTACAGAAACCAAACTGCAACTGTCAAGTGATGAAACGAAGGGCCAGAGTAGTTCGCCGAAGAATCTGTTCATCGAACGAACGCAAAACGTCGACGAGGAATCGTTCCTAGCGGATACGTGAAGTCTGCTGGTACACGTTGGCGAATCCGCGGCGCTCAATGCGAAGGTGGATCTCGTTTCGAGCCCCTTTGCTGAAATTGTCAGTTGGGGCGTGAACAATGTGTGTGCTTGCCCTGAAGCTTGAGATTCCGGAGATGGGTCATGGTAGTAGAGCATGAAACCAGGCAGTGGATTCTACTCTGTCAGTGTGTGTGTGTGTGTGTGTGTGCCGAAGCTGCATCGGCACCGACATCGAGAATCGCGACATTTTCTAATTTCGAAAGCAGTGGTGTAACCATAGGGTAAGAATCTCGTGGATTCTGTGATTTCTTTTCTAAATGAATTCTGTAAGGTATTATCAAAGGTTTGGAGTGTTGGTTTGCTTGAAGGTGGCTCGGGTTTGTCTCCGCATCGTGACGCTTTAAGCTTTGCTTCGCATGGGCCTCTTTGGTACAAGCAAGGTTTGTCTTGGTCTGGATTCTATTGAGACTTTTCAGTGCTCTTGTTGGTGTGCGACAAATTTCGAAGTGCTGGGCGTGCAAAAGCTTTCTTGTGGGAGGGTCTGGGTGTGATATGACGAGCAGTGTGGCTTCGAACGTGCTGCCTTGTCAGAGTGGTGGATGTGGATAGAAGAGGTTCCTCTGCTTGCTCATTTTGGAGAATTGTGGTATGAAATGAGCGATGATTGTTGGAGAGAGGGGGGATGTTGTGTCAGTTGTGACGGAGCTTGATGCTGCCGAGTGTTGGTCGGCTGAACAGGGGCTGTGGGTAGGGAGGCAGCGAAGGGAGCTTATGTGGTTTGGAAAGAGAGAGGGTGGAGATTGTTGGTAGTAATGGAGTGCTCGAGGGGGTGGGCATTGGTGTTGCCCTCGTTTTTGGTGCTTTTGTTCGCGAGCTTTGTCGGAGCTGCTGATGAGGCGAAACGGATTCCGACCACATTGGAAGGGCCCTTCAAGCCGTACACGAAGAAATTCGATACCAATTTGCGCACTGGGAGCGATGATTTGCCCCTATATGACCCACGAATTGTGAAGCGCGTCCCCGCTATTTACCCAGAGCAGATATTTCTCGCTCTGTCAACACCTGATGCTATGTGGGTGTCTTGGGTCTCTGGTAAGTCATCCAAATCCGTTGTATCTTTCTTTCCCATTCTTAAGTCCTTCGGGTTTGGGAGAGTTCATATGACCAACAGTGGGCTCGTAGAGAACACGTCTTGTGGAATGCGCTTGGAATTGGCGCTTAAACTAATTTTCTTTGCCACTGGAAGGCACGATACCGAGGTCTTCTGTCCTTATTCTGGTTGGGTCGGCTGGTTGTGGACGAAGCTTTGCTAGGGAATTTATTTCAAGCATCCCGGAAATTCTACGCTGAACATCATTTTACACAGGATAGTTACGTAATCTTAGAATTTAATGAACCATTGGGAATGGATCTTGACAAAGCATGCTACCTTTTCCACTGATGGACAACCCTCGAGGGTAAACATAAAGCGCAGGATTAGATCCTCCAAGTCTGGTTACGTTCTTTCTCTTTGCACCAAGTACAATGTAGCTAACATAGTTTCGACGTTGCAGGGGATTGGCAAATGGGTCCGAAAGTTACGCCCTTGGACCCGACCAGTGTTAAGAGTGTTGTGCAGTATGGTACTGCGTCTGAAAAGTATACAATGTCCGCAAGTGGAATCTCTGAGGTTTACAGTCAGCTCTACCCCTTCGACAATGTGCTCAATTATACATCGGGCATTATTCACCACGTCCGCATCACCGGTAATTGGCTTCATTCTTTCAGAGACTTTGAGCGTCCAAGCTAGCTTATCAGAGAATGCGTTATGTAGTGTTATTAACGTTAATTGTGAGGAAAGGACTTGTACCTTTCGATATAGTTGCTGGGAAATCCATCGATTAACACGCTCCTTAAGAGCGGAACTTGTACGCAATTTTCTGATATGCTTCATGGGTTGAGAATTAGCTATTTTGAGTTTTTTTTTTCAGCGTTAACTGAAACCTACTTTGTTTGTACATTGCTCAGGACTTAAACCAAACACAAAATACTACTATAAGTGTGGGGATCCGACATTATCTGCCATGAGCGGTGAACATTCATTCACAACTTTGCCAGCAACTGGACCTGCCAATTATCCAAAGCGCATTGCTATCATCGGAGATCTTGGACTAACGTATAATTCCACTTCAACTGTTGATCACGTAGCCGAGAACAATCCAGATCTTATTCTAATGGTGGGCGACATGTCATATGCAAACTTGTACATTACTAATGGAACTGGCTCGAGTAGTTATGGCCAAGCTTTTGGGAAAGATACTCCTATACATGAGACCTACCAACCTCGCTGGGACATGTGGCAGAGGTGTGAACATTTACGTAAACATCATATTCACATACGATGCTGTTTTGGTATGTTTCACGCTTTCTCACCGTGTGTATTTTAGGAGATTCTTTTTCTTTGATCTAATCTATTGTTGTGCTTGAGCAGACTGGTTGAGCCGTTAGCATCGAGGGTGCCTTTTATGGTCATAGAAGGCAATCATGAGGTCGAATCACAAATCAACGGCGAAAGCTTTGTGGCATACAAGGCCAGGTTTGCGGTTCCTCAATCAGAGAGTAAATCGGGTACCAACATGTACTACTCTTTCAACGCAGGTGGCATCCATTTTGTCATGATTGGATCCTACGCAGATTACAATAAGTCCAGTAAGTTTTTCTCCAATTCTTTGAATAATCAGTTCATAAGCTGGGGATATAAGGGATACGACTTTGAGGTTGTGATACCGCTTCTAAGGCTGTCTTGTCTGAAGACTGTCATGTATTTCATTGATATGTTTCTGCTTTGGGTACGTTGTCAGTTGCCTTACGAATTGTGAAAGAGAATATTATGAGTTGAATGTCATGTGTGGTGTGTGTGGAAAATAGGCGAGCAATACCGTTGGCTACAGGAAGATCTTGCAAATGTCGATCGGACTGTTACTCCATGGATCATTGCAACCACACACGCTCCGTGGTATAATAGCTACCGCGCTCATTATCGAGAAGTAGAATGTTTTCGACAATCGATGGAGGATCTTTTGTACAAATACGGCGTTGACGTCATGTTCCATGGCCATGTATGCGCAATTGAACCGTTCTGTTTGTGTACAGGCTTTTCAAAGTCATTGAGCACCACATCACGATAGGGCTATTACCTTCAAAGATATAATTAGGCTTTTGATTTGCTGTAACTTGTATATGGTATTTATTTTTTGTTTGATCGTTTAATTGTGCTACAGCTACGTAGTGAGGTTTGAACATGCCCTTTATGCTGCAGGTGCATGCTTATGAACGAATCAATCGAGTTTACGATTACAAGTACGACCCTTGTGCTCCAGTGTATATCACAGTCGGCGATGGTGGCAACGGTGAAAAATTGGAATTAATCCATGCAGATGACGATGGTGCATGTCCTGATCCGTTGACGACCCCAGACAAGGGTTTTTCGTATCTCAGTGGCTACTGTGGCTTTAATTTCACCAACGGCAAGTTTTGCTGGGACAAGCAACCCGTCTGGAGTGCCTGGCGTGACAGCAGCTTCGGTCATGGCATCATAGAGGTTATATTTGAATTCGAGCATTATTCTCTTTTCTACATTGTTTGTGCTTTTCGTGCTTGGTGTTTGTATGCTCACTTGGAAGGTTTGCAATCAAGACGATCTATTGTTTTGGTGAAATTGGGAATAATCGTTTTTGGCAGTTCTAGAGCTAGTGATCAGGGGTCGAACGCTTGGGCAATATCTCCAAAATTCGATGAAGTAGTTCAATCAGTGTCTCATACTTCTCTGTTGTGTAAGCAGGTGGTGAACAGCACGCACCTGCTTTGGACTTGGCATCGAAACCAAGACGAATATGACGAGATTGTTGGTGATCAAATTTATATAGTACGCCAACCTCACGTTTGCAGTAACCAGAACAACCTGTTGCGGAGAAACAAGTCTGTTCGTTTCTTCAGGGGCAGTGATTCAAGATAAATATGCAGAGCTTTTATTAGCTTTAAGTAAATTTTATGTTTTTGGAGTTGCAAAGTCATGGGTTGGTTTTTAGCATCAATGCTTATGTGCATTATTCATTTATACGTATTTGTGTTGCAAATTTTAGGAGTTTAATATATTAATGGTGTACAACCCCCGATCATGTTTTAATTATTACTGTCATCGTCTAGCTTAGAAATAAGTTGTTAGTCCTTCAACCCCACCTTTTACTCAAATGCAAAACTTTATGACAAAACATGAGAAATCTTTTGAAGTTTAATGTGTACCCAGTTTGAAACATTCACATCTATCAACTACTATTTTCAGTTCTGCTATTGCATAAGGTTTCAGGGTAGCAAGGCAAATAGTGAAAAGAATGTGTCTTATCCAAAGTCCTCTTTGATATTTCTGAGGTTTAAATAATACGATCTGTAAGATTTGATTTGTCTGTTAGACAAACACTATTTCGATTTGCTGAATTTTAGGGCTGCAACACTGCTGTACACGCACAAACTTCGCACTGGTTCCATTCAGTATCATGCGCATGAACTCATGCCCCTATGCGCCTTGAATCTTAAGTGCATCTGGACAACACCTATGATTTGTTTGAAGAAGAGTGAAGGACGAAGGTGATGTTTTCCAAGTTAAGGTGGCGGAGATCGATCAAGCGCTGTAGTCAACGACAAAGCCATCTTCTGCACTGTATTCCACTTGAAAGAATTTCACGATGCCCAAACTCCATACAAGGCCACATACATGTTCCTTTCACAACCTAACAAGTTGATTGAAAGGGGCCATTATACATCATCTAATCAATCAACCAGGAAGGCAACACTGACCATCTCAAGCACATAAACTGCAGAGTGCAATGCTTCCGACTTTTATTAATGTTGACACATCAACATTATAAGCGTTGCAAATCAAGTCGCGAATATAAAAAACCTAACTAATGAAAGACGTATACATGCAAGCCGACAAGCTACTCTAATTCTGAAAATAGCACAATGTAGGCACAGGTTAGGTCATTGACAAGCACTGACTGAACCGTGCCCTGCCACCCATCGACATTTTATTCCGGGCCTGCCTTGGACGCTGCATTCCATCAGCTTGATTCAAGTCAATCTAGCACAACACCAGAAGCACTTTCTCCCTCATATTAGAATTAAGCAGGCATCGTAGGAAGAATATCGGCCCATAGAATGTAAAGCACGAAGCCACCATCTTTTGATTGGTAAGAGATGCCCTTCTCTTCAGCTTTCCAGGCGCATCCAGTGCTGAGGCAGGCCATCTGGGGAGAGTCCGAAAACCCAGATTTCAAGTAGTCCCATATGTCGACTTTTTTAATGACCAGCAAATCGGCTATGGTTTTTGATGAGAATTCGCATGTGACGACGGGGTCTTCGAGCGAGCTGGCGAAAGAAAACTTCAGAATGCCACCGGGCTTCAATTCCTGCGCTGGGGCGACTTCCCTTTGGGAGACTGCAGATGTGCACTTGCACAATATGTCGCCGGAAGCGCCATTTTCGATGGCCTGATTGACGGTCACAGCACCTGCTGCGACGTTCACGAGTGCGAGCAGCATTGCCAGCTTCACTGGGAATGCCATAGCCTGCGACATCATCCTGCAACAAGAGTGACCCACAATACTTAGAGTATACTTTTGTGTGGGCAGAAACCGAGGCAACGCATGCAATGCTGCAGTAGCCGTCATCGATAACTCTTGTGGGATTTAATAGGTTAATAGAAAGGGATTTAAAGATATACGCAACCCACGACGTCACAATGCGAGGTTACAAAATCTACTGATGTTAATCGAAATGTGACAGTAAACAATAATCCAGGCTATGGGTCACAGCGTCCGGCTTACATTGTGCAGCAATTGCTCAAAACCTTCCACGAGACTCACACCAGGTGGAATACAAACAGGTAAGACAGTAACTACAGTTACACAATAGTAAAGTGTTACACTGAAAGATACAACAATAGAAGGCCCAAACATGCAGAGAACGGTCCAATTCGATCTCAAACTTTAGTTCTAGGTTTGCAATGGACACAAGAGAATCAACTTCGACACAGAAGGGGTTCCAATGCTTACCTTTTAATGGCTCTGTGAGACGATTCAAAAGCAATTCCTCTGCTCATTAATGTCCTCAACCACAAGATACACCAGCCCCAGAGACAAGCTGTCGCGACTCTGAGGTCGCTGAAGACTTTGGAATCAGTGAGGAAGATGATGGAGCTCACTCGCAGTTCACGCAGAGGCGAAGCAGAAGGCTGGAATGGTGACGGCGGTGACTGATGAGTTGCTGGGCATTGATTGAGCTCATATTCATAAGGCAGAAGAGCCTGGACATCTGACTTGTTCGGTGGGACTCCTGCAGCTGGTTGACTTACGGATCCCCTGACGTGGATTTCGGGGTTGTAGGATTTCATAGATTTCGATGACTGTGGACTTTTGAATCTGCCCTGCATTATAATAACTTTTTTTTTTTCCAGATAAGCCTGTTGAGTATTTTGTTTGCGTTGACTTTTGACGGCTTTGGGCAGCGTGAAGATGTTCGAAAAATATCGATGGGAGGCACAATTAGTGTTGGAGTTTGAGGGGAAAAGCGGAGTACTGCAGCCTGCAGACACTTCGTATACTTCTGACATCCGTATATTTGAGGGTGTGAGTGCTCATCCTTTGAATCCAACTGCGGTTTATATTTGAATGAAACATTCATGTCCACGACGAGTGATTAGGTCAGTTCGTTTTGGATTCAACGATGGATTACTCTCGATCTTCTGACTTGATCTGTGCAAATACCAGGTTGCAGTGAAAGTCAACTTCCCCATTCCATCGTGCTTATCTACCCATATTCTCCAAACTCCATGCCTTGGATTTTTGAGTTTTTAACAGTGACCGTGATAAATGACCGTGCAATGACATCTAGAGCCTAAGCGCAAGTGGACTTGTGGGCGACAGCCTAGATCGAAACTTGGATTGAAATTTTATCCTCTATAATGGAAAAGTAGTCAACAAGTGGAAGTCAGAATGCTTGAGAGAAGCACCAGCTTTGTAGCAGCTGTGGCGAATGAACACCTGCGCAGATATCGATGCAAAACGTGAGAGCTCATTCAGCCCAATTTAGGTCGGAGGAGGTCAAGCGTGGACTCCAGGGCACTATTTGTCGCAAGTCTCCACGTGGGGCCCATGGATATTAGACTAGTTATGCTACATCCTGAGAATTCGAGGATTAGCAACATGATACATCTGAGGAACTGCGACGATGCTTTTAAAGCCACTGGAGCTGGCAGTTCGTCGATTGTGGATGAGCGGCGATAATCCACTTTTCATGTGAATTGAGATATCAACCCTCAGATAGTCCCATTTTTCAATACATTTTCAACAGGTATTGCGGCATTCTACTGCATCCCATATTTTGATACACCATCATACCGCCATTTGAAATCAGAAGAGTTTTTTGCACCATGCCTAGATATCATAAGAACCACCTGTTGGACAAAAGAGAGAGCACCCAGTCGAAGTTCCTACATGGTGAGCTATGGTCGCCATCTGGGCTCAGAGATCAACTATCAACCTTGTTGCTGAAGACTCCTCGGTGCTTATGATATCAGCTGCTAGACCCAAACGAGAACCGGAGGCAGCCTGTAAAATACTTATTCGAAGCTTGTTTCTACGTGTTCATCAGCATGATTGGCAAGCATAAAGGTTACTTAGAATGATCAAATGCACTTTAATCACTCCAAGTCTAAATTGAAATGGGTGTAGAAGAAGTAACCCTGGTCAAAGCAGAGTAGATACCGAAATACTCGCATTCGTGTCGAATGGTTTGGACAAAAGAGGTGATTCTGTGTTTGACAGTCGTGAGATAAGACGGTGTAGTTGACTTGTGTGTGTGTGTGTGTGTACATTTAGCTTCTTTCTAGGCAGCCAGTGCCTGAACTGCAACGAGCATCACGAGATTAGGTGATCCGTTGGCTGCGCGGTAGCTATCGAGGGAATCTTGTGAAGAGGTTGAGTGAAATCTTGTCCTTAGAGTTCAGATTATGAGTCTACTTTCCCAAACACGACACTAAGAATACTATAGATGCTTTGACACTTTTTTCAACCGCTTGCATTTTTACACTACATCAGTACATGTGATAATGAGTACGGTGGATATACTAGTGAAATTTGCTTCAATAGTGTTAGTATTTTCATATTAATGAGTGTAAAAATAGATGGAAGTATTGTTGAAATTCTAGTAATATGAAGGAGAATGTGCTGTGTGAAAGATTGTAAATATTCACAAATGTTGTACAAATGGTTTTTTTTTTTTTTTTTTTTTTTTTTTTTTTCTTCAATTGCATAAGCTTGGCTATCTTTGAGGACTTTGAGGACATTTTTAAGACTTAAAGTTAGTCCAATGTTGTTCTTATATGACATTCCATGCTATTTGTTGATGTCTACCAATGTGACACAAATAAAATGTTACATCAAACATATTAGATATTTTTTAGATTTTTGGTTTTTATATCGTATTACATTTTTAAAATTTATTGTTTGTGGATTTTTTTTTATTTCTACTTAATATTTAATATTTTATAAAATATAGTTAATATTAATATTTATTCTTAAAAATAAAATAAAATAAAGCAAAATTTCTTTGCTTGTATCACAAGTATGTAATGGAAGTAAGTAGAATTAAGTAGAATAAAATTAAGTAGAATAAAATTAAGTCGATAAAATCTATTTTGACAAGGGTTGTAGCTTCTTTGATAAAAGACTTGGTTAAAATCTTCAATAAATGGTTGCCAGTTAGTCTATTTAAGAAGCCCAAAGATATCATTTTTGTAATGGACTAACTCTTGGCTTTAACTAATATAATTTAATATTCTTCATTTAATATAAACTACCTCTTATTTATTTTTTTATTTTATTTATTTTTTAGATTTTTTATTGTTTGTAGATTGTAAGAATTTAAACATTCTTCCAATTGGTAAAACTTCAAATTTTATATAATTTTAGAATAGTTTTAATACATATATACAAAGAGAAGAATATAAAAATAATATTAATTTTTAATTTTTAATTAAAAATTAAAATTATGATTTTTAATTTTTTTTATACTCATAAAATATTTATAAAAATAAAGAATATTATACCAAAATATAAGAAGAATTAAGAAAATTGATATTTATGTTGTATCAACTATGCATACTTCTACAATAGACACCAACAATTTTTGACTAAGAAGATACAAAGATAAAATGATTTTAAAAAATAATCTTATAACTTAAATGAAATATTTTTAACTTAAGTTTTTATAGAGTCACAAATATTTTTAGTAAGAAAGTAAAAGATTACTCTATCTAAGAAATTTGATAGAAAAAAAAAAGTTTTGTAGATATACAGTGACAAACAAAACCGAGTACAAAATCTGAACACTCATAGTTCATTGATCCTTCCAACTGACACATAAGTCAATTGATAGAATTACTTTTTTATTAAGTGTATTCATCCAGTCCTCTACATGGATGAAAAATCTCATTATCATTTGAGATAGGGTTTATGAGAAAAGTGTTGTAGAAGCACAGAGACGTGCGTACTCAGTTTTAGTTGCTTTTTCTTGCTGAATTTCGAAATTTCAATGTACACTCATTGTTGCAAGATTTGAGGGCATTTTTTGTTTGCTGTGTTGCTCTTGTTGTGTACTATCTATAGTGAAAGTTGATTTGTCAATTATATCTCTATGCCTCGGTTGTGTGAATCATTGAAGCACTAAGCATTGGTGCAGCTTAGGAGTGGTGTTTCTACAAGAAAAGTTGCAGACTCACTTGAAATGAGTCACTCTTCAGTAGCTCATCTAAGGAGGGAGATTACTGGTGAAATAAAAAAGCAAAGAGGAGGACGTCCAAAGGTTTTAGGAGAGCAAGAGAAGCGACTTGGTGTGTACCTTGTCACTGCTAGTTGTCTCAAAACGGCAAGTGCAACTGCAAAACAACTTCGAGAAAAAACAGGTAAACACTTCTCAGATATCACCTTGAGGTGTGGTTTGAGAGAAGCTGGTTTAGGTGCTTGTGTGCAACAAAAGAAGCCTCTACTTGCCAAAAGACATGTTCTTGTAAGGTTGAGTTTTGCTCATAAATACAAAAATTGGACCGTTGATGATTGGAGATGGGTTATTTTCAGTGATGAGACAAAGATTAACCTAATCAACTTAGATGGTAGGTCTTGGTGTTGGTTGAGAGAAGGAGAACGACCTGGACCTAAACATGTTAGTCAAACTGTCAAACATGGTGGTGGTTCAATTATGATTTGGGGTTGTATGATTGCTTTTGGGCCGGGTGCTTGGTATCAAATTGAAGGTAGAATGGAGCAACACTTGTATAAAAAAATTTTAGAAACCTACTTGAAAGTACCACACAGAATTACAACTTAGATCCTACTAAGGTGGTTTTTCAACATGATAATGATCCCAAACATACGGCAAAAAGTGTTCGGTTTTGGCTCTCTTCACAGCCATTTGAGCTCCTTCGATGGCCAGCTCAATCTCCAGATTTGAATCCAATGGAACATTTTTGGGCCTTTCTCAAACAGCGTTTAAGCCAAGTCACTCCAAGGCCAAGAGATGTTCAAGAATTGTGGGAGAATGTTTGTAGTATTTACCCTAGTTTTGATGCAAAAGATTGTGAGAAACTATACAAAAGTATGCCAAGAAGGATTTCAGCTGTTTTGGAAGCAAAAGGTTATTGGACTAAATATTGACGTTTGAAGATTTTCTTTGAACAATACTGAGTACAAGACATAGTTGTTGATTTGACTTTGAAGAAGGATGTTTAGTTATCAATTTGATGTGCAACTTTGTACATGTGTACAAGACTGTGTGTATTATTCCATGTAACTTTCAGATTTATAAAGCAATCATTGAAATTTCTGTAATTGCTCTTGAAAGTTGGCACTTCAGATTTTGTACTCGGTTTTGTTTGTCACTGTAGTTATTTAATCTTGTATTCTCAAGTCCAATTTATTAGAACATTATATATTAATCTGGTCTAATATTACCTTTTATTTTATAATTTTTAAATAACAATTTTTAATATTAAACAATTTAAGTTTCTTACAATACAAGAAAAGACTCTATTTCAATAAAAAGGTTTGTGATTATGTTTTGAAGATCTTAAACAAACTATTGAATATTGTTTCAAAATAAAATGTTATAGAGTATTAGTTTTAATATATGTTAAGTTAAAAGAAAAGTATTAATTTTAAGGTGATATTATTCTAAAACTATAAAAAATAATTTATGAACTTTGTATTAATGTAGACTAGTAGTAAAATAAGTGTTAATTTATAGTTGAATAGTTTATAGATCAAATAAACTCATTTATAAAGAAATATTATAAAAATATTTTATAAATAATTTATTTATTTAAAATATTGGTATTAAAGCGATTTTTAAAGAATATCAACTTCAAAGATGTAAAAT